AATATTTTTTTAATTATTAAATTAATTTGAAAAAAGTGCATCTTAGAGTCGCTAAAAATATTTTTTAAACAGTTCACATTTCTTATATTAACTGAGAAATAGTGGTGGAAATTCTAAGAAAAAAATCAAATCGACGCATGTCGTCGAAAATTATTTTTATAAAAATTTGGGCTTCTTTTAGTGCGTTATTAGTTAGAAATCCGGGGTAATATCTAAGAAATCCGAGCTTCTTGAAGATGTTCAAAATTATTTCATAATCCACTTTCCTTACAGTCATAAACAATATTTTGAAAATGCAGACGTATGGAATCGTTGTAGAAAAAAAAAAAATTTCAAAAAGTATACGCAAGAGGTTGCGCTAGTCATTGAAAAAAGAACACCAATGAAAATCGACATTATGGTCTGAGGGTTGGAGAATTCTTTATGGGGACGAAACCCCTTAACCAGTGTATTAAGAACCCACAAGCTCCAATTCGCCACAAACGTAATTTTTAGGTCATGGATTGAAGCAGTTTTTGCTGGTAACTCTAAAGTACACGAAACAAACCGTTATATCACTATATGCGTCTATTGCCGATTATTTTTGTCATGTCTGCAGTCAAATTGAATGAACAATATTTTTGTACAACAAAGCCTCCTCCTATATTAAGACCTTGTCGCTTATAATATTTTAGGTTGTAACCTCAAAGACATAAAATCGATATTCGTAATTTTGCATTGCCCTTTTCCACTTTTTCTCGATCTTTACCCAGAAAACCTTAAATTGTATTAAATAACTGTCCGATTTGATTGAAATATTTACCAGGTTCGTATCATCCAGATGCTTTTAATAAGGATTTAAAAAAATTGCTTACCCAAAAAATCGGTTTTTGTGAATTACCTGAAATAGAAAGAATAAGTAAATTAAAATGTAATTCAATGCAGCAGATTATAAATCTATATATAACTAACATAAAATCGTATTGAACTATTTAAAAATATAAATGATACAATGAAGGTAGTGAAGGGCCTCAATAGTACGTTTTACTGTTATTCTAGAATTTCCATCTTGTGGGTTATTTTAATTTAAAAGTAGTAAGGAAAGTAGTAAAGTTGGACGGGCCGACTATATAATACCCTTCACCACTTCGGTTATATTCAACAGATGAATCCTAACAGACGTCGCATTTTTAAAGGACCAGTAAATTGAAATTAGATACATAAACATATCATTCTGCAACCGATACAAAATTTTTCAATTGGTCAGATATAGAAGCTATATCTAAATCTGAACCTATCTCAGGAAACTTAACACACATCATTCTAGACCTAATTCATTACGCTGTGCCAAATTTCGTGCAAACCGAAAGATACTAAGGAACATTGATGCATCATTTTCATAAAATCGGACAAACATTTATATGGGAGCTATATCTAAATCTGAACCGATTTTCAGGAAACTTTCTAGACATAATTCATTACACTGTGCCAAATTTCGAGCACATTGAAATATATATATGTATATATATAGGGACTTTAGTGCACCATTTACATTAAATCGGACGAAAATATATATGGGAGCTATATCTAAATCTGAACCGATTTTCAGAAAACTTAGCACACATCATTCTATACCTAATTCATTACGCTGTGCCAAAATTCGTGCCAATCGAAAGATTTTTATTCACTTTGGTGCACCATTTACATTAAATAGGATGAGAATATATATATGGGAGCTATATCTAAATCTGAACCGATTTTCAGGAAACTTAGCACACATCATTCTAGACATAATTCATTACGCTGTGCCAAATTTCGAGCAAATCGAAATATATATAGGGACTTTGGTGCACCATTTACATTAAATAGGATGAGAATATATATGGGACCTATATCTAAATCTGAACCGATTTTCTGGAAACTTAGCGCACATCATTCTAGACCTAATTCATTACTCTGTGCCAAATTTCGGGCAAATCGAAATATATATATATAGGTACTTTGGTGCACCATTTTCGTTAAATCGGACGAAAATATATATATTGGAGCTATATCTAAATCTGAACCGATTTTTCAATAGGGTTCGTCCTTGGGCCAAATAAGTGGCATATGCCAAATTTCATCCAAATGCGATCATAAATGCGACCTGTACTTTGTTCACAAAAATACATGGACGGACGGACATGCATAAATCGACTCAGAAAGTGATTCTATGTATATTCTCAAATGGAACCATGTGTCGAATTTGTTTCCTTTTGCCTGTTACAAACATATGCCCAAAGACAAAGATTTTTTTATGAAAACTCTTATCTTGATGTTCTCTGTAAAGAAAACTGTAGACGATCTGTTCATCCACAGAGACTTTTTTTCTAAGGAAAAATCTCCTCAGTGACTGAGGAATATTTTCCTATTCCAAGAAAAATCTATGTTGGAAAAAATTGATCACAGTAATCAATATTACAAAATTGCTTATAAAAATTAATCAACCCTAGGAGTCTAAAAAATAGTTTACTTGTAATTAGAATCAGAGGATTTCGATATGCATAAATTCATTCTCCGAGGATTTTTCCAAAAAGCTAAATGTATTTGGTGGTTGAGAAATTTTTGATTGATTAAAATTTTTTTATAGAAGAAATTGTGTCCTCATCGTCTGAGAAATTGTTTCTATAGAAACAAGTTTTTTTTATCAGTAAATGCGGATTTTGAAAAAAAATGTGTTCTCTTTCATTCTGAAGTCATCAGAGAATGATTTTTGTTACTATATAACCCCCCAGTTTATCATGACGGAAACTTATTTTCAGTTAAAAAAAATCTTAGTAACTGGTTGGTGTGCCTAGGAAGAAGAATCGACGAATTTTTCACCACAGACGAAATATTGTTCTCGTTCATAGGAATTTCTTTAGCCAAATTACTGTCATTTGTGATTAGCAATTAAGATCTGACCTTTGTGATTAAAGATTATTTTAAATCGCCCTCAGTGAATAATTTTTTTCGAATGAATAAATGCAGTTTTCTTTTTTATAATAACAAATCTGTTCTCTTTCGACTACAGAGGCTAGTGCAAATGGTTGAATATGTCCCAGTTCAAACGGCATAAAATCCGAGCCTACTGATAGTTCCGCGAGAAAGGGAAGACGAATTGGCAGATAGAATATCGAAACATGGTCTTTCCAATTGGAACCGCACAAACGATCAATGTTAGGCTTATGGAACAAATATTCTGTCCCGATCCTGGCAGATAGAATATCGAAACATGGTCTTTCCAATTGGAACCGCACACACGATCAACGTTAGGCTTATGGAACAAATATTCTGTCCCGATCCTGCTAAGTAAGTAATTTTGTGTATGTCCTGCTCTGAGGATGCTCTGAGGCCGGTAGTACAAAATGAAAAAAAATCGCTGTTGAAACATAGATTTACTGTTAAAAAATTAATTTCGTACGTCCCTGCCTCAAAGACTCAGTTGTGCTCAATTGCTGAACCCGTCATCGGTAATAGATTTTTCTCCATAAACAAATCTATTCACAATCTACCTTTTTGACAGAACAATTTTGTTCATTTTATTCCAACCGAATAAATTTGACCCCAGTTATTTAAGAAATATTTCATATAGAAGAAATCAGTCATCAGTCAGGAATAATTTTTTTGTTCATTTAAAAAATCTGTCCTTTGCGCCTAAGAATTTATCTATAGAAAAAGTGTTACTTGAAGGATCAATCCTTCGATCCTTAAAGTAGCACTTTTTCTTATAAAAATAATCTGTCCAAATACTGCAAGGACTTTGGATAGAACACAATGATTCCCCATAAACTGAGAAAACTGTAATTAGTGACGGTTTCTTTCTTCATTTAAAAATTTGTCCACCATAAGTGAAAATTATAAAAAATTCGTCTTTAGTGAACAAAGATTTTTCTTCCACTTCCCTCCACCATAGTACGGAGGGTATATTAATTTTTGTCATTCCGTTTGTAACTCATCGAATATTACATTTGCGTTTTGGGGTTCTTGAGCGCGGTTTTCAACCGAATTTGTTACAATTTGGTATTTTGTAGTCGTATATGGTAAAAAGATCTCCGTGGCAAAAAATATTAATATTCGCCCTCTTTTTGGGGCAGTCCCCATATAACCCAATTTTTATATTAAAATAGTTATCTGATTTGTGCCGCATTTTGAGTTTTGTTCTAAGACTCTGTTGTAATAAAAATTAGAACGTATGGTTCGATAATGAACTATAGCCGCATTTAGACCTAGCCCCTGTGTGGAGGTTCCAGAAAGAGTGGACCGATGTTCCCATCTTCGAATTTGAACTAAGTTCGGAAGAAATAATAAGTTGGGCAAAGTTTGGATGAAATCTAAATTTTCTGAAACGGATTTGGTCCAATGAAACATGGGGTCTAGAACCAATATTTCGATGAGGCACATTTTCACCGTGTTAATGTGTATACACCCTCATTGGCCATAAGGCTGCGGGTATAATAATTATCCATTAAAAATGTCTGAAATTTGTATTATGGTTTACATAATCCGTTTTTAGAAATGTCGGTATAGGTCCACTTTTTGGTATGTTCCCCATATTTTCATTTCTAGTACCCGTCTTTGGTGGAGGGTATTCAAAGTTCGGCCCGGCTGAACTTAACACTTTTTCACTTGTTTATTTCTCAGTTCATCTGCGGCATGTAGGAATAAAACTTTTCGCGAAGCCAGATGATTTCTTCTGATAGAATAAATCCCTAGATATGGTGTTAATATTTTTTAATCACCAACATTATTAAGATTTTTTCGTTTTTAAATGAATCTAGTTCCAATTATCATAAAATTCAAAAACTAAAAAAAAATCCTAATCGATACAACTTCATCCTGGGTAAAAATTCATATTGAATTTTATTTAAAATAAAAATATTTAAAAACAGTGTAAATAGTGTTGAAATAATATTGTATTTATTTTAGAAAACTTAAAATAAAAATAATTTATCTTAATATAAGGAACAATGGTTTAAAAATTAAAAAAAAATATATATTAATTAAAATTTCATGAACTGCATTGAGTTCTGACGTTGTAGCAGAGGTTTCCTTTGTTGTGTCTGGTGTTGGGAACTCGGTGATGATATTTGCTGGCGTTTCATTTGCTGGATACCCGACAATTGACGTTGTTGATGGATTTGATGCTGTTGTGGTTTTTGTTGCTGCTGTTGCTTTTGCATCCTCTGTGCCTCCACATTTTGTGATTGTTTTTGTTGTACCAATTGCTGATATAAATTCTTTTTGAATATCGCTTGTCGGTTAAGATTTTGCAAATCTTCAGCCGAACATTTGGTAATATTCCGAACTGTTTTGTTGATTAGCTCATGGGTGAGCAGGAATTTGGTACGTGACACCCGGGATGAAGAACTGCGTCGTTTCCTCAGCTCCTCGCGATGTAAAAAGAGGGCATAATTGAAGGAGCCCGATTTTTGAATTGATTTACTCTTTAGCGATGTTGACGAGGATGATGATTTCTTTGGTGATGCGGAGGCGGATAAAATTTTGGCAGGCATTTTGATGGTGCGTTTGATTAATTACTTCTTTGTTCTGGCTACAAAAGGATAATGATGCCGTTCTAAGCAGTGACAGGAGTTTTTATAGGGCTAGCGCGTCATTTTAAAACAGGTACGAGCCATATGCTAATGTGCTAAAGGATGTCCCATATGTGTCTACGTGTGTGTGTGTGCGAGCGGCATCCTTTTCAGGTATGCTATTTATCAATGGTGTTGTTTGCCAGCCAAAATTAGTTAATCTCTTTGTTTATGCTTACCTCGTTAATTTTTTGTAATCCCACCAAAAAAACTAACACTTGCAAAAAACACAAACACTCTTACCTCTTTTGTGGCCACAACATATGGCGGTGACCTTAAATGACATCATTAAAAATTCGCAGAAAATCAGATTTTCACTGACCTTGTAGTGTGTTGTTGTATTTTCTTTTTGATGTTGTTGCTATTCACCTTAAAGTACAGTTAACGGTTCTTCACAATGCAACGGCATTGCTGATTTCTTCTTTTCATAAAAAATCTAAATAAATTATTTTTCATTGTTTTCACAAAAAATAAATCTTCTGTTAATTTTATCTCAATTTGCATTTCAATTGCATTGCCTTTATGGCTGAATAAAAATCTTTTTTTATTAGCTGTATCTTCTAACATCCGTTGAATGAGCATACCATTGTAATATTTTATAAAAAGTCTGAATCGCTCAGAATTCTTTGTCTTATAAGAAAAAAAAAAAATGACTGAGGATAACTGAGTACACATTTAAAAAAAAAACATGTTTTATTAAAAAAAACTTAAATAGCCTATTGTTGAAAAAATAACATGGCTCCATTCTCGGTGCCAAAAAATGTTTTGATAAAACTTTGTTTGTGGACAAAAATAGGCGAATTTCCAAAAAAAAAAAAAACATTTTTTCAAATGTTCGCCATTTTGTAATATAAAATAGTCTCTGGAAATTTTCCCTCAAATCGGTTCAGATATAGATATATAACAAACACGCGACGTCGGTTCGGATACATATGTAGAATATACCCATGATGACGGAAACTTATTTTCAGTTAAAAAATCTTAGTAACTGGGCGGTGTGCCTCGGAAGAAAAATCCAAGAATTTTTCACCACAGACAAAATATTGTTCTCTTTCATAGGAATTTCTTTAGCCAAAGTACTGTCATTTGTGTTTAGCAATTAAGATCTGACCTAAGTGATTAACGATTATTTTAAATCGCCCTCAGTGAATAATTTTTTCGACTGAAAAAAATGCTGTTTTCTCTTTTATAATAACAAATCTGTTCTCTTTCGACTACAGAGGCTAGTGCAAATGGATAAATATGTCTCAGTTCAAAAGGCATAAAACTCGAGCCTACTGATAGTTCCGCCAGAAAAGGAAGACGAATTGGAAGATAGAATATCGAAAGATGGTCTTTGCAATTGGAACCGCACACACGATCAACATTAGGCTTATATTCTGTCTCGAGCCTGCTAAGTAAGTAATTTTGTGTATGTACTGCTCTGAGGATTTTTTTTCTAATGTAAAACTACATTACCTCAAAGACTCAGATTTAATAGTTGTTCTCTTAGACAAAGGCGTTTCTTTTGGGAAAATAGTTGTCCCCATTGCTGAAAACGTCCTCGGTAATAGATTTTTCTCCATAAACAAAACTATCCGTTGAATGAGCATACCATTGTAATATGTTATAAAGAGTCAGAATCGCTCAGAATTCTTTGTCTTATAAGAAAAAATATGACTGTGGATAACTGAGTACACTTTTTAAAGAACATTTTTTATTAAAGAAAAAAACTAAAATAGCTTATTATTGGAAAAAATATCATGGCTCCAGTCTCGGTGCCAAAAAAATGTTTTGATATAACTTAGTTTGTGGTCAAAAATAGGCGAATTTCCAAAAAAACATGTTTTCAAATCACATTCTGAGTCGATTTATGCATGTCCGTCTGTCCGTCCATGTATTTTTGTGAGCAAGGTACAGCTCGCATTTATGATCCGAATTGGATGAAATTTGGCACAGCCCATTCGTTTGGCCTAAGGACGAATCCTATTGAAATTGGAGAAAATCGGTTCAGACTTAGATATAGCTCCCATATATATTCCCATATATGGTTTCGCCCGATTTTAAGTAAATGCTCCATTAAAGTCCCTGCAAATTTTTTGATTTGCACGAATTTTGGCATAGCGTACGGAATTAGGTCTAAAATGATGTGTGTTAAGTTTCGTGAAAATCGGTTGAGATTTTGATATAGCTCCCATATATATTTTCGTTCGATTTTAGGAAAATAGTGCACCAAAGTCCCTTTTATCCTTCGATTTGTACGAAATTTGGCACAGCGGACTGAATTGAGTCTAGAATGATGAGTGGTAAGTTTCGTGAAAATCGGTTGAGATTTAGATATAGCTCCCATATATATTTTCGTCCGATTTTAGGAAAATAGTGCACCAAAGTCCCTTTATATCCTTCGATTTGTACGAAATTTGGCACAGCGTACTGAATAAAGTTTAGAATGCTGCGTGGTAAGTTTCGGGAAAATCGGTTCAGATTTCGATGTATCTCCCATATATATTTTCGTACGATTTAATGTAAATGGTGCACCAAAGCCCCAATATAAATTTCGATTTGCACGAAATTTGACATATCGTACTGAATTAAGTCTAGAGTGATGTGTGTTAAGTTTCGTGAAAATCGGTTCTCGGTTCACAAAATTGTGCACAACGTAGTGAAGTTAGTATAGCCTAACGTGTGGAAAGTTTCGTTCAAATCGGTTCAGATTTGGATATAGCTTCTATATATATTCCTCCTATTTTAAGTAAAGCATACACCAAGGACCAAAAATAGGGCCTATATCATGTTATATTAGAATGCATCGGTTGAATATACCCAAAGTGGTGAAGGGTATCATATAGTCGGCCTGTCCGACTTTACTACTTTTCTTACTGGTTTTTAATTAAAATCTGGCGCAGGAATTTTGTCCTTTAGAAAATGATCCGTATTTAGAGATGATGAAGTATATTGAGGGTACATACATTTTGATACGATTGAAATGTGCTATCGATGGATTGATTTTAGTGCCTTTCAGCCAATGCCGATTCAGACATTTCAGAGTCGCTTCTGTTCAGTGACTTATAGTACGACGTCTTGCGAGAAAAATTGCTATAAATTCGGAATAAGATCATTTTCGTTCGTAAAAGGAGTTTTCATATTATTAAGATTTTTGAAGTTTAAGCTGATTTTCGAGTTTTGGTCTATTCTGAGACCTATAGTTACACTTTATGGCAAAACGTTTTGCTGAATACTCTGAACTGCTTTAACCCCATTTTAAATGAGTTTTCAATTATTTCTCGAAAAGGGGACAGAAAAGACCCCTTCAGAGAGTAGACTCATGGTTAGACAAAACTATTCCTCACATTCATATCATAAATATATAATATGTACACAAAATGCAAGGATTTCGTGAAATCCTAATACGAATATTTTGAAATGACTTGGAAATTGGAAATATTACTACGCCTTTTTAAGTTACCTCCTGACGTAAACATTCAAAATGCACGTGTCTCCTATTTTTAGTGCTTGTATCATAATTTTTTGGAATTTCCCGATAATTATTTTTGGTGATGCACAGTTTAATTAATTTACGAATATCGAAAAAATTTGCGAAAATCCTTTCTATACAAATTACACAATATTTAAAACTATTTTCCAATACGTTTTTATATATTGTCGGAAAAGTTTTTGTCATAGAGAAAGAAAATGACTGCCAATAGTTTCTACATTTGCATACTTTGGGTAAACCAAAAAAAGTGAATGGTGTAATTAATATTTATATTTTTTATGAATCATAAAAATATACAAAAATAGTTAAATAATTTGCATAGAGAAAACTTCACTTCATGTTATGGCTAATTAATAACTCTTTTTTTTAAGAAAATATCTTGAGGCCGGAAATGAGAAAGTCGTAGCCCTCTTTTCATATGAAAGTAAAAATACCAACTCAAAAAAAGTGACTTTCACAAATTTCGTTATATGAAGTACCACAGCATGAGATGGCTAGAATCAACAGTTAAAAAAACACAAAAAAAAAAAACAAAAATTTTAATGGGAGCAATTGTAGCAAACGGCACACAATGACATTTCAATCGCCAATTCAATTCATGGCTAATGAATTGTGCTGTAGTTATGGTCGAAATATTCATTGTGGTTATTTAGTTTTTGTTGTTGTTGTTTCTGACTATATTACATTTTATATACCATTCGTGGTGACTTGGCATATAAAGTTTGTTTTTTCTTTTTGGGAAAATAGACAAAAGTTCGAAAATCATTCATACATTATTAGTCATATGGCAAAAAATTTGATGACTAGCAGCGAATAATACACTAAATATTTGATATAGGAAACCATCTTCATGGACAGATGGAAACCATATTCATGTTTCTATAACACGCATTTTTTTGTGATAGAAAAATTTTTGTCATTGATAATAATTTTTATCCAAAATAAAGTCTTTACACGAGTGAATATTTTTAAGGAACACATTTTTAATCAGTAAGGCTGATTGCTTTCTATAAAAAAATCTCTAAAAACATGCTCAGTCAATAAGGCGATAATATATCTCACAGAGTACTGATTTACTACTTCTATTGTGATAAGTATCAGTAATAGAGTTCTGATTTGTTCCACCGAGAAAAAGTATGATTCACTTAAGACAGTTTTTTTCTATAGAAAATAATATATAGTCCCCTACTACAGGGATTTTTCAAATAAAAAATTATTCTCAATAGGATTTTTTGCTATAAAGAATCCCTAGGATAGCATTTTTTAATAAATAACGAATTTATTAAAGAGAAAATAAACATCGGCCACAGACAAACGATTAGTTCAAAAAGAAAACCAGTAAGGAAAGCAGTAAAGTCGGACGGGGCCGACTATATGATACCCTTCCCCCCCAATGGGTATATTAAACAGATGCAACCGAACATAGCTCGGACCATTATTATGACAT